CATACGATATACACGGTATTATCACGGAGGACCCGAGAAATATATTTCGCAGTGGCTCGGGCGTTCTGGTCTTCTGTCGTCTGTTCCAAATCGTAAACTTGACTAACGAGCTTTACTCCTTTTGTTAGATTCGCTTCTCGGAAGTGCTTGTGCAGCTGAGAGATCTTTATGAAGCCGCACATCAGGTGGTACATTGGAAGGTGACTCACACGCAGCGCGCGCTCTCTGCATGAGCACGTAAACGAGCGGCAGCACATTGGAGGGAAGGGAAAACGCACGCTATACATTCCCGGTTTCTACTTTTCTTCCAAAGATGGCACTGCCGGATGGATGGATAGATGGATGGATGTGGCTGTACCCTTTAGATCGGGCGGCGGCTAACGCCACCTAGCCGTAATACTTAGTGAACTAACGACTAGATTTATCTTTTTTTTTCTTTATATAGTAAGGTTGAGGATTCGTACTTTGCAGTGAAGGGTTTAATTTTCACTCGAGCCTTGACTTTAGCCACCCATCAAATAACCTCCTTCTAGTTAATTCTACGTGCTTAAAGTCGATTTTGCCCTCCCTATCCTAAACCCCAGTGCTTTAAAAAAACTCTGTGCCATCATCCTGACCTAGAGGGTGAAGTCCTTTACAGAACATTATCAAGTGTTCGGCAGTTTCTTCTTCCTCTCCACACGCACTGCATACTGTGTCTACCCCTTCGTATTTGGCCCGATATGTCTTGGTTTGCAATACTCCCGTCCTGGCCTCAAACAGTAGAGAACTACCCCGAGTATTGTCATAGATCCTTTTCTTGGCAATTTCCTGCTTTAAAGTTCGATAGATCTCTAGTGCATACTTCTTAATCATGCCAATTCACCACATGTCAGTCTTGTTTCCTTCACTTTCTTCTTAACCGATAGTTCTTTTTGGTTTGGCCACCTGCTGTTTTCTAAGTATTTATCAGTCAATTTCCTGGTTCGCTTCCCCCATTTTGTATCGACATTCTTCATGTACAAGTAGCTGAAAACCTTCCTAGCCCAACGCTCCTCCCCCGTTTCTCTCACTCGCTTTTCCAATTTTATATTGCTGCTAGCTTCCCTGCCCTCAAATGATGTCCATCCCATATCACCTTGTACTCCCTGATTTGGTGTATTTCCGTGAGCTCCTAAAACAAGCCTACCTATTCCACGTTGCTTAATTTCTAATCTTGCTTGAACTTCTGATCTCATGCACAAAACCACATTGTCGAACGTCAGCCCAGGAACCATGACCCCTTTCCATATTCCTCTCACAACATCATACCTATCCTAATGCCACGGTGCCCTATTTTTCATCACTGCTGCATTCCTGCTACCTTTAGTCGTCACCTATATTTCGTGTTCGCTTAGTTACTCGGTCCCATGCCTTATCCATGCGCCCAGATATTTGTATTTATCTGTTATCTCTAGCGTGACCTTCTGTATTTAAGCACACTACCTTCATTATCATTAAAAATCATGACTGTTGATTTTTCCTTACTGAATCTAAAATCTAACCTATCTCCTTCATTACCGCCGATGTCCATCAATCTCTGCAAATATTTCTTGTCGTTGGCCATCAGCACTATATCATCTGCATACATTAATGCTGGTAGTGCCTGATCAATGAGTTTTCCTTGTTTGACGAAAGAGAGGTTGAAGCCAAGTCCACTTCCCTCTAATTTGGCCTCTAATCCTTGTAGGTACATCATGAATAACAAGAGTGACAAAGGACACCCCTGCCTAAGTCCCCGTTTCACCTCTGTGGGCTTGGATACCTGTTTTTCCCACTTTATAACTACTTTGTTACTTTTATAGATTTCCTTTAAAAGATTAGTGACTCCATCTTCCACACCCAGTGTGTCTAGTATTCCCCACAAGTCCTCTTGAACCATGCTCTTGAATGCTCCCTTGATATCCAAAAATGCTAGCCACAGGGGCCTGAGTTCCTTTTCTGCTATTTCAATGCACTGCGTCAGTGAGAACAGATTGTCTTCCAACCTCCTGTGTTTCCGAAACCCATTCTGCAGTTCCCCCAGCACTCCCTCATCCTCTATCCATGCCTGCAGTCTTTCCTTCATAATCTGCATTGCGAGCCTGTAGACCACTGATGTCACTGTTATAGGACGGTAGTTGTTTATTTCCGCTTTGTCCCTCTTTTCTTTATAGATCATGCTCATCCTGCTAAGTTTCCATCCATCGGCGACTTCACCATCGATTATTGTTCTGCTCACTGCCTCTCTCAAAGTCTGTTTAGACTTTGGACCTAATGACTTTATCAGCATAATTGGAATGCCATCTGCGCCTGTTGATGTACTACTTGGAACCCTCTCCTCAGCCCTTTCGTTACTCTCGTGAAAATGGAGCCATTGCGCCACTTCATCAATCCTTGTCTATTGTGGTGCATAAGGCACTTTTTTGTTGAAATATTTCTGTCACCCTTGTTCTTATATCATTTAGCAGGAGTTTCTTTCAATAGCTTCGTCCTCTTCTAGCCTAGCACCTTGAGCTGTAGTTATAAACGTCTGCTCTAGGTTTGTTTCATTTCTTAGGGAGTTTAGATGGTTCCAGAATTTCGCAGCTGCCTTTCTGCCCTTTTTATATACTTCTCCCAGCCACTGAGAACCCTTTCTTTTAATCTTTTCATTGATCAAGAGAGATGCTTCCCTTCTAGAGCTTAGAAAGATTTCCCATTTTCTTTCAACCTCATCCGTCGGTTCACCCTGCTACTTAGCATGTCTGTTTTCCTTACAGGCTTCCTGACGTTTTGCTACGGCTCTCCTAACCTCCTCATCCCACCAACTCTTGGGCTTGTGTCTTCTTTCCCGGGGTGACTTGTCACATGCCTTAGCAAGCTCTATCCCAAACAGTCTAATTAGATTTATGTATGTCCACACAGTTTTATTATCCTCAGTAATTACTTTCTCAATTTGTTTAGTAGCAATTTTTATTTGCCTTTCTGAATGAAAATTTTTCTGTATTTGCTCATCTTGTCTCCTTCCCACTTTCGCTGCTCTTCCAAAACTTAGCTTGATACGTTTGTGATCACTACCCAGACTTCTGGAGCCACCTTCATCTATGTGCATTCCCCTGAGCTTATCATACATCCTATGTGACATCAGTGCGTAATCTATCGTTGACTGCAGCCTTCCTATCTCCCATGTTATTTGCCCTTCACACTTCTCGGTACTGTTGCAAATGATCAAATCATGCCTTTCACACATATCCCCGATCATTTTGCCTGTTGAGTCAGTATACCCATCTATATCTTCTATGTGCGCATTCATATCCCCTAGTATAATTATTTCGCACTCTCCTCCTAATTCCTCAATGTCCTTTGATATACACTCCACCATTGCCTGGTTTTCCTCTCTGGCCTTTGCTCCCGTCCACAAGTATACGAAACCAAGGAGTGTCATTTGACCTGCCACTTTCCTTCTTAACCATAAATGTTCTATGCATCCCTGCTTGACTATTTGCGAACCCATTCTCTTATGTATAAATGCACCGATTCCACCCCCCCTTTTTGCTGCCTTCTGTTCTATTGCAATATTCCAACACGTAGTCCGGATGGCAGGGTGGTTGCTCATGTCCCAAAGATGTGTCTCCACAACCCCATATATTATCAGCTCCTCCTGCCTCAACTGCTCTTCTATCTCTTCCCACTTTAACCTATTCCTACCACCCAGCATGTTAATATAGCCTACGCCTGACTTAGCTCGGCCCTTGTGCTTACGTCGATTTCTTCTCCCACAAACTTCGTGTGGCTTGAATATTTGTGTCCCTTTAGGTCCGTCTTTGGCTACACTGTTGGCCTAAGGGATCTGGGTCCCCCTAAAAAAGTTATGGCTTGGCGACCCATTCTGTTACCGACCCTCCTGCCCGTCGCACCACTGTAGTGAATGCCATCCTGTGTAAAAAGGCGAGCGCCGGGCCTGTTCAGAGTCGCAGCACCACTATGCACTGCTTTGGCTTCCTATAGCATTACCACAGAGGGTAAAAATGTGTGTGTGTGTGTTTTTTTTTTCGCATTGCATCAGTTATATACAGCGCAGGGTAAATACAGGGTCCGTATTCTGAAACAATTTCGAAAGGCGACTGTATCACCTTTCTTGATAGGGAATCTGATGTGTCCATGCCCATGAAGTTATTGTTGAACAGGCCATTGGTAATTCACACATCACACTGAGCGAGCGTGTTGTACGTAAACGGCCGCAGAGCGACCCATGGCTTCTACGCAGTGATCAGGCTTGGCTGTGGCTACTTGAAATATTAGTCGTAATTTAAGGTGGTTTTAACGTTTTTTCGTGCATTTGTTTAAAGCACGGCATGATATTTAAAGAGTGCAGCCTTGAGTGAAATGCATTTTGGTTGGGAGCTTAGCGCGGCTTACTAGAAGAGTCGAGCTGTAATGCGCAGCCACAGCAGCAGCATTTCAATGTGTTGCCGGCACGCTATGAACCACGCAATATGCGGACACGTTCAAACCACATAAATGAAGAAACCATGTGCTGGCAGAACAACCATTGCTGAAAACACACCAAGGTAATGAAAGCTTCAGCATAAAAACGCTGCGCAACAAAAGTTGAAAACTAGAAGCCATTGTCTACGCTGCTCAAATGCTAGACTTCACTACTCACCGACAGTTGTAAGGTTCGTTTGTTTATTCCAGGCATGTGAGGAGCAGCACCGCCACGTCAACAGAAATATATGACACTCTCACAGTTTTCTGGTTTAGCTTGATAGTCGATCATGGTGCAACCACTGTGCAACTTAAGTGATTGTCCCCTTTTGCGATAGTTGTATACAGGATACCGCCTCAGGCATAGCAATAAAGGCACAATCGACATAAGCTAGTGCTTTGTTGCGACAAGTGCGTCTTTTCTGATGTCTCTGCCATTATGGTGTGCGAAAAGTAACACCAACCCATCCTCCTTCCTCTGATAAGTTTTACTACTGATATTTTCATGCACTTGATTGCCCATTGTTTTGCAGGAGGGTGAGGGCCCGACTGTTTCACTGCTTGAACGAGAGCTACTCCTCTGTTGACGAGGCTGACCCTAAGCCTGATGTTGAAGGTGCCTGGCAAAGTTTTATCGATCTTCTTGGACAGGATGTGGTGCGTGGACGAGCAAGATCTTCCCCAGGGCTTCGGTGGTGGCGCAGCGAGCGGTTCGGAAAGTGACGACGCCGTTGATGAAGACGATCCGACAGATGAGCCTGCTGTTACAGTGACCGAAACCGCCGGCTCTGCGATTCCCATGGTGTCCGAACAGACAGACAATGGCGTCAGCTCCCCAAAAACTTTGGCGCATGTACTCGTTAGTTTGGCCCCAGCCGTCCTGCTGTTTACTGTACTCTTCCTGTAGACAGAGCAACTCAAAAGATTCAGCGAGTGATGTGCTTACGTCAAAAGAACCACGATCATTCTGAACATCCAACTGAAAAAAAAAGAAAAATTACATGCGGATGGGTCATTTGTAGACGGGGTGAATGCCCAGGCATTTCAGTAATATTTTGGTATGCTGTTTGGTAGTGAAGCTGTCACATAACTAGAAACAAGCGCAAGCTGTGAGATCACTTGTTCATTTCTTGAATTCATATTTCATGTGTATTATCACCATGGTGAGAATAGAGCACGTGCACCAACTATCCCCGTCATCTCATTGGTCCCACTGTGAGTATTTTGTGTTGGAAGCTGATTTTATGTATTTATGAAAAGTGAGCCTATTGTTAGCGGTCTTGTGAGCAATTGAAGAAAGGTCCTTCCAGAGACACTTCGGTGACGTCGGCAAGGCTATTCGCCTTTTTATTCTGCTATCCACATGGCAGTATCGTCAAATTGCTTCATTTTCGCTCCTTTTCGAATGCTTACATTTGGTGAGCCAATAATGCTGTGGTTATAAGTTCGTTTATATATTCTTTTTCATTAGTTTAGTTACATGCAACCTCAGTATAAGAAAGGCAGGGGAATGATTTTTTCAGTTCTGCTACAAAAAGCATACACTTCAAAAAAATTAAAAAAGGGTATTTGAGAAGTATTTCTGCCCCGAAACTAAAATCGTCATCCATCTTGTTTGTGTTTCCTTTTTTGAAAACCCCGATCTCGCCACTTTTCTATGCAGAGCCTGGTGTCACGCTGATACGGCACACGCCGTTTATGACCGAAGTGATCATGCAAGGAAAGTACGCGAGATTGGTGACGATTATAGCTGTACTCCCCTAAAATATTCCCCAGGTACTCGTTTTATTTTTTCTTAGAGTGCAGTTGTGTGGAGAAAACACCCCTTAAACACTCGATTTATTTCTTAGGGTGTTGCGATGAGTTCAAGGCGCAACTTATTCATTGTCGAAACTACTCTTGTTTGCAGTCGTAAAAGTGATAATCTTATACAAATGCAAGTGTCACCACCGCTGACTACCTCCCCACCGTCCTTTGTAACTACACCATCATAAACGGCTCGACAGCAAGATGGCACATTGATTATACGGAACATCTTATTAAATTCGCTGTTTGTGTACGGTGCCAAATTCTTTTTTCATTTCATAGCGAAATAACAGCCTACGCGATATACAAAGTTCTCTAACATATGTGTTGTGAAACACTTTACATTATATAAATAAACGAGTTAACAAGCGATATTGGTGGCAAAGTACTCTGATTGTCTTGTTATGATGGACGTTCGCATTGATGATTACATTTACGACGCATACTTCAATGCATTCCTGCAAAGGAATTGCATAATTGTCCTGTCTTTATGGCTTGCGATAAAACATAAACAAAAAAAGCTTGCTGTTCCACGTGAATTCGTAAAGTTTCTTATCAGTCGTATTAGGTTACGTAGCAACAACGACATTCTAGTCTTTCCAAAAGTAAGCACAAAGCTGTCACTGAGGCAGTTTGGTACGTAGTGGTAGCTTCTATATAGATTCTATAGCCATACAGAATTTGTGGCTACTATAGATGGCTTGCACCTACGTCACTCATCGTCACTGCTCGGAGCAAGTCAGCCTTATTGATGAACAGCGGTTAGACCTTCTGCAATGCTGCTCGCCGTACTACAGGGTTTCTTCCTTCGCTCTGGTTATATGCACAGTTGTGGACTGCTATAATCGTGGCGACAGCTGCGGAAGAAAGAAGCAGCCCACCAGTCGGAAGGAGTTTCTTTAGAATATCCGACTGTATTGAAGGCCAGTGCCAAGTTCATGCATTCATCAATCTGTCTGTTGTCCGTCCATCTGTCTGTGCATCTGTCGGCATGTCCGTCTATCTGTATGTCTGTCCGTCCATCTAGTGAACATACTAAGTACCGCCATCCCGCATCTTTTCATCATATATTCATTATATACGAGTACTTCCCTTCAACGGACACTCTAAGGACTAAAACGAGAGGTGGCTACTACATACAGGAGACGCACGACCCATGCCTTAAGGAGCTTTGTCCCTGAAACCCCGAATGAATCTAATCGTCTGGCAAACAGTAATCGCCCAAGCACTCACCAATACCACAAGAGCACGACGGCATTGTCTCCCAGAGACATTGCCTCATCTGTCGATCGTAGGTTGACGACTTGCGCGTTGTGGATCCTTTCTCACTTGCTTTGTCCGCGTAGTAGAGTCCAATGATCCCGGACTGACGAAGTTCCTCCAGCAGGTGTCCACCAGCCTCCTTATACTGCCGCTGCGAACCATTTTGTAGGGGGTGTATAAGACTCCGGATTCAATAAATGTTATAGAAGAGTTTTTATTTTACTACGTGGCCCTCAACAAAGGATGCCAGGCTTGAAGCCGTTTTCCTTAACAGGTTGTTTCCCTAGCTGCCGTCTCTTTTGCTTCGACGACACTCTCCCGCCTCCACAGCGATTATGTGACCCGGCTGCTGCTCCCCATACGCTAGCCATCGGGTCGAAAGTCGAAACAGCGACGCTCAGATCAAAAGCAAGAGGCACGATGAGAGGCAAATACCTCTCGCTTTCCGCAACTATTCGATGAGATAACCGCGGTCTGTTCGCCATCAGTTTAGCTACCGACGCAGTGGTCTCCGGGTAGTGGGGTGCGATGAAACGTCGGGAAGGCATCTCAGGCCTGCAACACCTGGACACCGGCATATCTTGGACAGAGTCCACAAACGTGCTGTCACAAAACAATGCGCATAAAGTGTACATGGGTTTACTACATCTAAACCTTGGCCTTTCTCTCTTCTTTGCACTTACTGATAGTATTTTTAAAACAAGTTGCGTCCATATATGTTGATTACAGACATCAAGGAGATATGAGGCATCAATCCCAAGGCCGCAGCAACTGTCGCCCTATGTAAATACTTGGAAGTCGCTATATCACGCCATTGGTGATATGACTGTAGAGAGGCTATGACGCTCACATTTTGCTTTTCCACAAATTTGTATTTATTAGCGAAGAATGTGCACATTGCGCACCCGTATTACATCACTGTGGCTTCTCAGATGGGATTTTAACAAACTCCTGTAACATGCTCTATATGGACACACAGAACAAGAATAAGGTTTTTCATTACTGTGCATCCGCATGTGCTCTGCGAGCGGGTCCGATCGTCTAAATTGCTTTGAACAGACTGAGCAAACGAATTGCTTTTCTCAGTGAGTTAGCATGTGCCGCTTCAAGTTCTTCGATACGAAGGGGCACAAGTAGCATTGGTACTGTTCTCTGGGCTTGTCAATTTTTCTCTGTCGACTAGTGCCGGCTGGCTTGAGAGAGGAACCACCTTCACCTGAAAGTATAGGAATATACATGCTACATCAATAGCCTTAATTGCAGTACTACCAACAAGCCAAGTCCTAGGCTAATTGGCAAGCTACAGCAGGCCCCTCCCTGACACTTTTATGTTTCATTTGATACATGCATGCATGTATGTAGTGGGGTCAATACTCTTCTCTCTGCGTCCCCCTCCTCCCCTCCCTGGAAGAACTTAAGGCTAAGCCCCTGGTTTTCGACACATGTGCACCGCCATCTTTGGCTGTTATACGAACATTTCCTTATTTTCGCGTGCTGTGTTGTGGAGTTTAAAAAAGTCTTCAAACTTTGAAGGCACCGAACCAATCAATTTCGTATATTAGTGTCTCATCTACCCCCATAGCACTATTTGTAAGATGCGAAATGGCAAGATTACAGCCCACTGCAGCAGCACAGAAACCCATGTGTAAAATAGTTTTAATATTATCAAATCAATGACGCCGTAATTTTTCATAGATTATGTACTGTGGCTTCATAAGTCTACACCTAACATCACATGAAACAAAACATATACGTACATACAGGTGTAAGAAGTATAGCTCGGACAGGCCAAAAGGCAATAGCATTGCGAAGGGTGGCACACCAAGCCTGCATTGGGCAAGTTGCTTTTAACAGAACAGCTATTCAAAGCTGATATGAATCCAGGTTGAGCACCATACAAGAGGCTAGCCTAGGCAAGATAGGTCAACATGATGAGAGCGAAAGCAAAGCAGAAGCCAAGGATGAAGCTGAAGCTTAGTATAGCAGGTATTCCCAAGCGCGAGAAAGAGAAATGAGGGTAAGAAGGAAAGAGAGGAGAAAGGCAAAGTCAAAAGCTCAGTAAAGGGCGAGGGCGAAGCCTGGTGCAGCAGGCATGTTGAAGGCGAGGTTGAGGGAGGCACCGGAAAGGAGCGCACATCCAAGAGCAGTGCCAAAATGTTTTTTATTAGAAATTGGATGGGGGTGGGGGGGCAGGACAAATGAACCATTTTGAAAGGGGACAGGGAGGAGGGAAACTTAACATTAGCTCTGGGGAAGGGCTGAACAACTTGTTCTTATATCATTAATCCGGCTTCACACAAGGGGAACATCACATAGTGCTTCATGCAATTTTTGAAATCCCCGATTGTTGACCACATGAAATGTCACACAGAAACTTTCACCAGCATAGGAATTCATTATACGAAAGTGCTAAAATTTTTCGGGGCTTCTCCAGAATCAGTAGCTTCGCGATGAGTTTGTGAAGCCCGCAGCCACTGAGTAATGCTGAGAGTAGGTCGGAGTTTTGGTGTTTCTGTATTTACAGGTTTAGAGGAGTGAGCTTTGTAGTCCATTATATATAGTATTCTACCAGCATGAAATGCACACCCGCTTGGCCATGACAGTTGCCTACGTTACCACAGAGCCCAATTATACATTGGGTTTGTAAAAATTACCCTCCCACGCCAAAGCCAGTTTGAACGACTCTGCCCAAATATGCCCTGCAGAACTGAGCAGGTTTTTCCAGATGCTATTTATTCTGCTTCCATTTGAAATGGAACTTTAACTGCGAGTGAGCGCTGTTGTCTCTCCTTTCTCTTCTCATCCTCGTTTTCTACCATACTGTTTATTCATTCAAGATGTAACGAACCACCGTTCAAAATACATATGCTTTTTCACAGTGTAGATTTGTATTTTTAACCTTATGCAGTACCTAGTGCACATATGCTGCACACTACAGCAACCAAACAATGCCTGAAAATTTTCATGAAATACATCCCTTATGTACCTAAAGAACACATATGGCAATACTGTTAACAAATCACTGCATGTACAATAGCCTTGGAACCATGTTCAGTAATAGAGCAGGAAATTACTGAATTATGACCAAGCTAAAAAGAAATGTTATTATGGACAGAATAGGCCAAATAGATTGATATGTGGGGTTTAACGTCCCAAAACCACCATATGATTATGAGAGACGCCGCAGTGGAGGGCTCCGGAAATTTCAACCACCTGGGGTTCTTTAACGTGCATTCAAATCTGAGCACACGGGCCTACAACATTTCTGCCTCTATCGGAAATGCAGCCGCCGCAGCCGGGATTTGAACCCGCGACCTGCGGGTCAGCAGCCGAGTACCTTAGCCACTAGACCACCGCGGCGGGGCCAAGAAGAATAGGCCAAATAATAATACTGACTGCTATGAACACAAGAACAGTCTCCTGTAGGTAGTGTAAGAGCCAAGTGCCCAGCTTTGATTAAATAATACAAAGTGACAACCAACTCAATTCAAGATACAATCAGTACCACGACACAATAAAGGCTGAATATACACCAATAGGCTGCACTGCACCAACCACAAATAAAACCTGGTTCAATGACTACATGGTACTCAATCAAAAAAATATTTTCTCATTTGAGCACATCAATTGAACAAAAAATAGAACAAATGGTACACAGCAACAACAAGATTTAGTTTAAAAAAAGCAAGCAGTCCATTTGATAAATCTTCATGCAGTGCAAGACTTGACCTGTAAAGGCAAAAATGTATATCTTTAGAGAAGCACGGGAACAGCACTAGGATCAATTGGTAGGCCATTCATTTCTAGTATATTCAGGCCATTGCAAATTTTAAACAAGTGCATTATGTGCAGGAGCTCAACAATATTGGCATCTTGTGAGCATGTTCTCATTATCGTCGTTCACATCATTTTTAAGCTCCACTTTATACTAAGGCTTTGATAAATGCAGCTTATGCAAGCAGTACGTAGGTTGTGTTTTTATAGTACTGAACCACAGACTTCTCGGACCAGTATCTGAAAACCATAACAGCTGCATCATTGTAGCACTTGTGTCTTGTGCATGCCTGCTCATCACAATGAAGTGCAAGCAGGATTTCATATTGGCTACGAAATTCCATCAATTACATGCATTTTCAAAGTAATGGCAACTAGGCATTTTCAATATAACAACCTGACTACATACTTCTTGCATGTAAAAGCATGGCACTTAAAGGGCCCTCCACCAGGCCATACCTATTAAACTTAACTGGCTCCCATACAAGTACTCCCGAATTCTGCTATGTCAGGAGCAACTTATTCTGGTTATGAATACGCTAATCAATCAGAAAAAGTCTTCAGGGACATAATCAATGAAACCGTACAGTGGAAAAGTATTCCTTCGTTGATTCTATAGCTAAATCAAAGAAAAGAAATATAATTAAGGGCAGAAAATGATGGCAATACAAATAGCTTTTAAATGTATTAATTCAACAATAAATGTCAGTGCCGGCCAATATGCAGAAAGTTCATCTCACAGTCAGGTAGACGTTAGGGTATCAAGGATTTTACCGTTTATAGAAACTTTTTCAGTTTCCGAAATCCTCCTTTCAAGGCGGACGTGATTTGCTGCAAGGAAGTGTGAAGGCACAGCACCAAGTAACCAGCTGCTCTCCACTGGCTTCACTGCCGACGCAGCTTCGCGCGTTCCGTGCCAGTGTTTGGTGTACTTTTTTTGTGTGTGTGTATGCCTAATCATGTGGCATGCTTCCACGGTCTTCTGAAGACTGATTTAGCGGCTACAGTAACGAAGACACTCAGGCATTTATGACGTAGAAAATTCTCCTATTGTTGGCATTGCAGGCACGACCACGTGTGGACTCACCGAGCACATGTGTATGTCTCCCGAGGTTAATTCTACTGTTGCTGCTATCCCGTGTGCCGTAGCTCAGACGTTCCAGGCATCATGACAGGTTTTTTGTGCCCAGGTGCACCAGCAGGTAGAGGAAAATCTCCAAGAAACGCGACTTCTCTCCGCCGTCTGACCCGCTGTCACTGCACAAGTAGGAAAGATGCATGGGAAAGTTTGGGAAAGACCCGCAGGAGATGATGTTCACTTTTAAGAAAGCGACATCCTGAAGACATATAAGCATATTATAAATGGAAAAGTCGAAATCGACCAAAGTGCATGAGCATTAAGGAACGATGAAGTTCCTTGTTTATTCCGAACCTCCCAATGTACATGAAGACGTAAAAGAAAGGATACCTGTACCACAACCAACTGCTGCTTCTTTGCGATCAACCAGAAGAATCCCGGCAACAGGCACCCGCTCCTTCGGAGGACCGCAGCTTTTCAGAGCGATTGGAAAAAAGTGTGCGTCAACTTCCCTGCAAGAGAATTTGGCTGTCCTCGAGGAGGCGAAAAACCACCGGTAATAATCTTCTATATTGCGTAACTCAAAACATATATCTTCTGGCACAGCCAAAAGAGAAAGTGCGCCGCTAAGAAATATTCATTACAAGGGCTGTGTGGGCATGACTGGTGCTAACAGAGGTATGTGTATCTTGTGTCATTTTAGCAAGAACACTGAAAAAAAACAGAATACCAAAAATAATTAAGATCAAGGTGCAAATTGCAAGCAGCGAATGAAGGAAATGGTTGATCTGTTCTACTGCCACTGGAGACGAGAGAAAACTATAAATATGTCGGTTCAGTGAAAGAAAATTGAAGACTGCAACCCTGACTACTCTCAATGATCTAGTTGAAGATTTACCTAGTGCAGAAAGTGTCCATTCATTGTACATCCATCATGCAACAAGAAGCAAAATCACCGAATAGGTATAGGTACACAACAGACTGGCTCATGCTTTGTTTGCTGCTCACGAGACCGAATGGCTACAGGAATTCCGTGATGCGCTTGTTTGAAATTCGAATGCTCGAGACTAATGTGTAACAGTGACGAGTGTTCTTCTGTCAGCGCACTGATGTTTTTCAATTTTCCCAAAATTTGCATTTTTTTAATAACCTCAAGTATTATCCACTCATAAACACCCATATATCTGAATACTTCAGAAGAAAAAAGTGCACTGGTTCATACCACCTTAACAGAGAACTTGAGTCCGCAAACCTATTCGTGTATTTTTGAAGAAAAAATTGTTATGTCTAGGTGCAGACTTTAGGAGAAAAAAAGAAATAGCGTCGTTACAGTGGGATTTTAAACGTGCTGATACCTTACACCAATGGCTTGGTTTCAACTTCTCTTAGGGTAAGGCCTGCCGAGGTGCTTATCACTGAACTGAATAGCTTCGAAACAACTAAGCTGGAACCAGATGAGTCACAGCTTTTATCGAGGCTTCGATGAGACGTGGCTAATACAATTGAGCTCTAAATTTAGTTTCTACTACCTGGAAGAACAAGAAGTTGCAGAGAGACAAAACGGCCCATTAAGCGACAAATGCTCGCCTAGCACCACAATTATGCGAGCTATTATTTCTATCAAGGACCCAGCAAGACGCACACACATCTAAGTTTGATGTTACGCTCCTCGTACATAAATCAATAAGTTGCGGTGTTGTGTAAACGCTGCTCACCGGCTACATGGCGCCTAGCTGTAACAGACAACCCTTGCTTGCTTGGCACAAAATTGGACTGCAGCACCGCGGTGGCGGGAACAGCAGCTGGCCGCCTGCTCCTAGAAGGCGAAGGGGAAGTTTTGAAATTGAATAAGTATCTACAAATGTTGACTTGTACAGCATGTGCCATTCTTTATGATTAAAGTGGTTGCCACCAAATCCGCTGGCTTGGGCTCGGAATTGAACTGCCTTGAGGCCCACCCCCTCGAACGGCCAGTGGTCCCCCATATTCTCTCTGGCGTTCAAAAAACCAGCCACTTCGTCTTCCTCCCCTTTCTCAGCTTACCCATCCAAAGCATTTCGTTTTTTAGCTCTTATTTTTCTCCACTTCGATGCAAGTCATGTGGTTTCGGTTTTGAAGTTTCACTGACGCCAAGGGCACCACTGAGATTTTGTGTTCGGTACGCAGCTACAGATTTTTAATTTAGAAACTATTTTCGATGGAGACGAAATTGCTGTAGGCCCTTGTGCCCAGATTTGGGTGCACGGTAAAGAACACCAAGTGGTCGAAATTTCCGGAGCCCTAAACTATAGCGTCTCTCATAATCATATGGAGGTTTTGGGACGTTAAGCCCCACATATCAATTAAATCTAATCTAATTTAGAGACTGGCCATCCTTTAGACATGCATTATGAGAAGCACTTCCTTGAACTACACGCAAAATGCACGTATACAAAATCATACACTGATGCGTCCAAATCACATGTCAGCATCCATCCTCCTCAGCATTGCCCTTCGTCATTTACAGCAAGATTGGAAGCACATTGTCTTACAATCACTGAAATGATTGTCCTTTTACTCATTTATAATTGTTAAAACAGCAGCATAAACTCAAAAGAGAACTAGATAAGAGTCTGTTCTTTGAAAGGACACAGTGAAACGGATCACTCTCTAACAAGCCCAGCCCTCGACGCAATAGACACCCTCGACGCAATGTGATCCTTAACATGAAAATAAGAATAACCACAGTGCCAACGTGCTCAAGTGACTGTTGCCCAAGAAGAAGAACTGCTAAGACAAGTGAGCCAAGTTCAGTTTTGTTTGTCCACGAGTACAACTGTTGGGATTCAACATTTGCATTCACAGCAAGAACGGCTTGAATAATAATGTCCAGGAAACGGAGCCTGTTATTGATTCCAAACCAGAGTTTCAAACTATAAAACCTAGAGGTGAAGCTGGCACTAGTGTTTATGCGGGGCTCCATGAATGGCGCTTCAACCACCATGGAAATGATGGAAAGTGCAGGCTACGAATTTGCATCAAACAGATTTTTGAGAATCACGACACTTGCTTAGCAAACTTTAGGCAAAAGGACATGAAGCTATTTTCAATTAAAATCGAGTTTGATCATTCATATGTAAAACTGACTGCAGAAAGTTAGCGTGATTGAAAAACAACAATTAGGGTATGCACTACTCCACAAATGTGTTCCAGATTTGGCGTCACCAAACAATGAATTATTTTACTACACTTGAAAGAAAACAAATTTGTGTTCCCTTTGGAACTACAGATCATCTATTCATGGAAATAAACATACTGTATTGAGTGAGAAATACTTCATGTATCCACAGATGCACCTGCCATGCCAGGTGCGTCTGTCGAAATGATCTCCCCCAACACATCTCTCGTAAGGAGAGCATGAATATGCATCTACGTCGCTTGGGCGTCAGTTTGGAGCCAATTTGAATGAATTTGGCAGGACACTGTCATAAATAACAGCAACTCTATGCACTATTGTTCATTGGCATGAGACGCTACATCTATGCACAGTGGTGAGTGCATAAAGGTTTTTGATAAAACTGTCAAGCGCAACCAGCAAAACTGCAATGTTGCAGCGGACCAGAAGACCTAGCCGTCTTCAGCCTCTTTCAACAAGAAAAGCACTATTTGAATGCTTTGCACCAGACTCCACAACCAACCCTGTGTGAACAACGAAACAAACTAAAAAAATATGTGTAAATGGTTCACTAGCTAACCCAATCTGATCTGAAGCCTGTTGTACTTCCTGTCATTCCCATAATGGCTAAACTATCACAGCACCAGATTTTCGTCTAGATTATACTATTATGAAATCCTACACTCTTAAGCAGTGGCACAAATCCAGCAAATCACAGAGGAGGTCACGCATCTTACAATGACGGCTATTTTGTTTTTATAAATATGGGTAGTAAGTTAATACATAAACGCAATCATGCTTCGAAATTGAAAAAAAAAAAATGCCTGAGCACTTCGTCCTGATGGTTAGCCAGCGAAGCTGAAGCACGCAGCCACAGGTGTTGGCAGATACTGTAGCCAAAGCCAAAGTTCTACTTGAGAAACTCTAGCCAAAAGCAGACGTTGGCCCCAGCCAACGTATTCCTGCCACTGCCCCATTGACACTGCTCTGTTTGCAATGCCGCTTCCTCGTGTCACACTTTGGTTGTTGCTTGCTTCTGACTCGGAAGGCTGCCAGATCCTCAGTGCAGTTATTGCTTGCACTTTGCCACCCAGGCCTATACTTGTGCCCGGACTGCAGCATCGGTCGGGCGAACATAAATTCTCTCATGGATCAGCTGTCAGCACTGTGTTCGTATGATCCAGGCCCTCCCTTTGTGGAGGTTGTTAAAGCTGATGTGCGTGGGCTCGGAGGCTCGACTGGGAAGGTTGAGAACGACATCACTGACGGTGCAGCCAATGGCACACATCCTTAGGTACGATGCAGAGAATGGCATGACTAATGCCGCTGCCAATGACGTGTGCTTGTGTGTGACATGGAGAACAATGTAACTGATGGTGTAGCCAACAGAGCCCATTATCAAAACTCCTGGCAAACAGTTTTTTATTTCACCTAGCCATATACAGCTTTCGCTGGAAAAAGTTGTATGAGTGTTAGCACCGGAGAAGGGAAAACAGCACAGAGCAGCCTGTTACGAGCACGCACTGCATGGTGAAGATAGCTTCAATGTGACACTCAAAAGTAAGCACTAAGGTATTTCTAGCTTATGTCGTTTGCGTTAAACCATTAGGCATGATAAGCCACAAATGCTAGCCTTTCTTTTTTTATAAAGCATAAAGCAACAGCTTTTTTTTAACTTCAGCTTCATTCTTCGTTGTGCATACTTGTTAAAAATTCCTACAAATTAACGCTGTGAAATTTCTCATAAAGCAATATTTAAGTTCATCGGTGATTTTGCTTAAACAACACAATCATATTTCAGCAATTGCATTCATACTTCATTGTCAACAGTGTGTAACAAATCGTCAACACATATTTGCGATAGATGTTCAGCCGTTCCATAGTTTATTTGGATTTCAATGCCCAGCTCAATGAATATTTGCAGTAACCCATAGTTCTTTAGAAAGCTTATGCTCTGTGATGCATTTTGAACCAAAATCATTTTTCTCCGTTGTTCTTTGTTTCTGTTCAGTAGAAAGGCTTCTGATTTCAGAGTTAGATATGACAACTAAAATTCAAAAGGGTTGGAAGAGCACTAGCAACAGTGTTTTGCCCCTGCCCGACCCTAGGGGTTCAGGACCAGCCTGACTACCATGATTCCTGCCACTACTCTGATGCAAAAGTTGGAAGTGCTTTAACAGCAACTCGTTGCTCCAAGTAAGTGAAAAAAATGAAATACCTCAAACGATGTTTCACCTACGACCAATTCTGTACCAGAATGCCTCGAAGTGGATATCAAGGTTCCAATAATCAAGCACTATGGAAGAAGACAAATGCAGAATGCACTGACATCACTAAAACGGCCACGTTGGAGAACCTACAACGTGGGACGCAAACTTAATTGTGATGTCGGGTACAGGGGCCCAATAATGTTTGCCAACATTACAAGACTAAAGGAAAGTAACTGCTTTGACATCGTGGAAGAAACAAAAAGAAAGGAGGGAGCATTAGGTTACACAACCAACGTTCGCAAGCCACCCCGTTTTGAAGCCAGCAGTGTCAGCCCAACACAAGACCGTTTGTGTCAAGGTCACTATACAAGAGACTTAAAGGGACTTAAAGAGTATGGTGCACGGTAAGTTTTAATCAAAATGTACTTGTTCGGCACAGACTGGCTAGCTTACAGACGAAAAAAAACCAGGCCTGCGAGGAAAGCCCCACACAGTTCCTGCGAAAGCCAGAAAGACAGCACTTCCAGAGGCCGTGATAAACTATCTTCGGGCTGCTAATACAAGTACACTTTCAAGGTACTCACTGTGCCATAACTCACGATTTTTTTTAAGTTCGGAAGCCCCCACTAAGCCATTGCTCATCACTTTGCGGAGAGGCGAGGTGCCCGCTACGCATCTGCAAGGCAGACAGATGTGCACTTAGTTGATGCAGTGCGCGATGACAAAGAATTATGGCTGAGCCCTTTGTAATGAGTTTGAAGATTTAAACAACCCACTAGTTATGTAACTTGCATTGTGTGACATGCAGTCGCTATTTTACTCACCTACCATGCTATATAAGATACTTTAAAGTGACAGACTGAACTTTATTGGCATCCTTAGGAAGTGGACCATTGGGGCCTGTTTTCTTTGGTAACTAATCTAAGTGCACTTGCTAAGTACTCCCACGATTTCGGTGAAGTAGCGAGCCATCCAATATGGTATTATTTGTCATTCCAGGAGAAGTGTGGTACCTCCAACGACGTGTAAGGCATTACGTAGACTTTGACGATGAATAATTATGGCAGAGCCTTATGCGAGGTGTTCAACAACCCACCAGTTATGCAAATCGCATAATGTCACACTTGGTTGTTATTTTACTCTTCTAACAGGCTATATAACATATGTTAACGTTGTTCCTTTATGACATCAAGGGTGTATAGGGTATTTTTGCAAAGGAGTCGGGCACTGGCGTACTCTGGTACTTGACTGTCACGGAAAACGCCCAGCTACAAACCCATTTCATCTAGGTTATATCTTTTCTCGTTTTTTTTCTTATTTCACGTGATGGCGGTTAAAGACACCAGTGGCAGTAGTGGACAAGTATAGTGTCAAGAATAGCCATCGCTGTGATTTCATAACATCTTTCACTGTAAAACAGAACTCTACCAAGTGTACTAAAGCCTACTGCTCACTCTCGCATTTTAATCCCGTAGTGGGCCAACAGAGCTGGCTTCAATCAGATTGTGCAATGCTCCCTCCTTTTCTTTTTTTTTCTTTCCTCTATTCCTGATGTCATCTAAGCAGCCATGTTGAGCATCCATGGCATCACACGCAAGCTATCAATGTGAAGCATAGTGTAAGAGACCTCATAATAGCAATTGAGAATATTTTAGAGAATGCAAGCACCAGTGCTTGCTTGGGGAAAAAGAACGATGGAGAAAACAGTGTGCTGAACAAAGTACAAATTGTAGCAGCCAGACACAATACTGCATTGATTCTGTCACTTGAAATGAGAGATCCAGCGACCGCTTTTTTTGACAAATGCACTGCGTGAGTTTCAACAGCTCATGAACAAAGTGTAACGGCCTCTAAAGGGGCAGGCAGACATGTTTAGCCTTCATCATCATTATCATCGAAGCGTTTCCAATTCTGTAGTGCACAAGTTTCGGCCACTGCAAATTACCCTTGAGACAGGAGAACTTAGAATAAACCTATCACAACACGAATCTAGAGCCCCCTTTAAAGGCAAGCTGCAGCGAGCTTTGGCCAAGTTTGTTATGCAAATCTCCGCAATTTTTTGTTCGAAGCAGTCAACGCGTTCACTTCGCCGTAACTCCCACGAACACCACCTCCGAGTTTAATGAGGCTACGTCACACAATGTTTGTTACGCTATATTTCTGGGTCAATCCAGGCACCCTTTACACCTTGAAGCTGACCAGGCAAAACCCACAATCTACCTTGCGCTCGTTCGAAGGGCATACTCTTCCACCCCCGGCAAGCTCCGTATTCATAAGTTTGTTCGAAGAGGCACTGCTATATCCCTGAAACAGCCGCCAGCATAAGCCGCACGAGATCTTCCAACGTGTTGGCGATGCGCAGCAACCTCTGCGCGCTGGAAACGTGCAGGCACCACGCACCTTCCCCACAGTCGATACGTGCGGGCGCTTGTTCTCGGGCAATGGAGGTAGAAATAAATGGTCGTGGCACAGAGGAGCGTGCTGCCACTGTGCATATTAAGACTGGCAGCTGCCGAACACGAGCTTTCCTACCTTCACGAGCACGAATGCAACAGAGCCGGGCACAGGACATTTAGATCAAACGAAAACTAGCTTTTCAAATTTTCTTTCATTTCTTGTGGCTTGTCTTGGTTTGGCTTGACCGCATAGAAGTCGGTATGTTTTCTACTAAAAGTATTTGTAATGATGCTGATAGTTGACATGCGGCGCCCGATGTTCTCTGGCGGCGCTTCATACGACGCCGCCGTTAATTTTTATTTCTTCCGCATCTGCTCATTAAGGCTCTCATTAACGTTGCAACTGGTTTGTGAATGTGCACGCGAATTGATGCTATGATGGTCGTGAAGTGTTCTGTGGGACGGCTGCAATTCTTCGACGACAGAGTGGTCTTCTTCTTTCTCTATGAGAGTGGTGTGAAAATTGTGGCCAGGCACAGTCTTTCTCAATGTTTGCGTCAACGACGATACTGTTCTTGTCCCTTTGTCGGCGTCATAACTATCGTCATGTCACAGCAACTATCCCAAACTGCCACTAAGTTTGCATCAATGGTGTGAACCGTGCGTTTTGGTTGGTGTGGAAAACGCTTCCCGGCTTAGCCTTTTTTTTTTTTTTTTTTCATTTTATTCGAATGTCTAGTTGTGTGTGCTTGCAACAGAGGCTGGTCGTGTGAGCCATGAATTCACAGATTTTGTCGTGAAAACGATGCTGTCTTGCGCTGTTCACGCGTCGGGTGCGCGTGGTTCACGTGTAATCGTTCGTCACTCGACCACGAGTGGTTAATCGCGATGATATCCCGGTGATGCCTTGCTTTACTGATTCCTCTAAGAAAGCAGAGTTATCCTAAATTTTTAGAGTATTACACATTTTATGCTGACTTGTGGGAATAGTGCATAAAAAACGGCCCTTCCAGTCACTGCGTACTTATCAATACCCGTGACAGATTTTTTTTAGTGCCATGCTGCTTATTCTATGCATTTGTCTAACCCGGACTGGGCAGAGATACCTGAGAACTTTTCCGAAGTACAGTTTTCAAAATAAGTGTGCTGGAAGCCTAAAATACAGATACTGTGATACATTTATATTTGACGAAATCAGATATTTCAAAGATACTTGTGCAAAAAGACGAGAAAAGTACCATGGAGTACAAATACAATAATCCAGATACTGGAATACCGTCATAATTTGCTGTACTGAGAAGAACGCTCTGTTAGCTGCACCAAAAAAAAAAAATTTTCTCTATACAGTGTTGGTTAAGTCTCGGTAAAGGACTCGCAAACAAGAAGTCTCTACCACTGCTGACGCGCGCAAGTTTGTCATATAACTAGTACAAACAGTCTTTGCAGCTTAAAAGTTCCTTGCCATGGCTAAATCTATTATCGTGCCGTCTTGGTTTACTGAAAAAGAAAACGAATTGCGCATCTTGAATTAGTGTTTAAAAAGTCTCATTTTCCCATTAGAAGCACCTGAGCTCAATTCAGACAAAAGTCGAGCCATGTCCTGTTCAATATCAAAATGCTGATGTCCTGCACAGCATGATGATATTGTTATGAGTCAATGTCCCATCCCACCTGAGCAGTGACATAAGCACCGAGGAAGACTGCGTGATTTCGGTATAGAGAGCACTCTTGTTCTTCATCTTGACTTGCACGTTGGCACTGTTTAAATATATCTTAAAATGCCTAGTTTCCCATGTGCCTTCACGCAACATTTTGGTGAAAGGTGCTGGGGTACAACGCAAGACGGAGTTACGCAGCGGACACCTAGTTGCTGCTTCCAACATGTCCACCGGCAGCGACGCTATGGCAACTGCCGCGCCCAATGCATCAACGGTGCCGACCTCCCCTGTTTTTCTCGTGGCCGCTTCACCCTGGAATCCCGGCAACTTTTCGGGAACGAACGGCGAGGACGTGAATGAGTGGCTTAAACTCTACGAGCTCATCAGCCAAAATCACAGGTGGGACCCAATCTTGATGCTGGCAAACATAATCTTTTATTTGCAAAAAACGGCCAAGGTGTGGTTTAATAACAATGTAGACGCGATAACAAACTGGAACGCATGCAAGACCAAGTTACGCGAGTTGCTTAATCAATCTGCCGGCTGCAAGCAGGCCGCTCGGAAAGAACTTGGCACACGTGTTCAGACGTCCATGGAGTCTTATTTATCGTATATACAGGATGTGCTGACCCTTTGCCCTAATGTTGACCGAACCATGGCTGAAGCCGACAAGGTAGCGCATGTGCTCAAGGGCATCACAGACGATGCGTTTAACCTCCTTGTGTGCAAAGGCTTTTCCACCGTTCAAGATGTTATCTTTGAGTGCCAACGCTTTCAAGAGGCTAAAAGCCATCACATTGCCCACCACTTTACGTGCCTTCCCAACACTGCTGCGACGTCAACTTGTGAGGGTCTTCGCATAGCGACCTAGCCCAATTCACACTCCGGTGACATCACGAGAATCGTACGCCGGGAAATCTGAGTGGGCACGAGAGCGTCATGACGGCCGGCACCGCTCACGCTCTGTGCTTTTATGTTACGCAGGCTTTTATGGCCTCGTCGTTCCTGCTGTTCTCACTACCTGCCGAAAACTTTCCTGCAAAACCGCACGTGTGGCCACAGTTCGTGCACAATGAGTACGATCAGCACAGATACCACGTACGCCCGCCAGAGCCAATCTTTCGTTCACGCATCTACAGCACGGAGTACGGCTCAGCTACGTCATCAACCGTGACGTCACGCCAAGGCTGTGACTTAAAAGGCTGCGACTACAGCCACCACCCCAGTGGGCACGGGAGCGTCATGACGGCCGGTACCGCTCACGCTCTGTGCTTTTATGTTACTCAGGTCAGTAAGCAACCCTCTCTGTACGCTAAAAAGAGTGATGACTGCTGCCTTTTGTTGCTCCCGTGCCCAGGGGTGCTGTGTGAAACTGTATGCGACTGCTTCTCAATGATTTTTTTGCTGTTGTGTTCGGGAAATGTAGAGGTCAATCCAGGTCCTCCTGGTATGCACTCTAAAGCCCTTACGGAAAGTGATTCCCTACCGAATGAATTGAAAGAACAGATGTCTGCCATTTTCTACATCCTAAAAGACCTCCAGGCACGTTCCATAGAGTCGGCCAAGGGACAGTCTGAGTTAGTTGTTGACGTCAAAGCTATAAAGGCAGGGCAAAAGATTTTAGAGGCCCAAATTTGCTCTATTAACCAGCGTCTGGACACGGTTGAAGAAAAACGAAGGGTATAAACGAGCTAGAAGATACCGCTGTCGGCGTTGAAGACAGCGTAGCTAACTTGGAAGCTCGACTTGACCCCTTAAAGTTACGTTTAAACGAGTTAGAAGACCAGTCAAGGCGCAGCAATATTATCTTTTGAGAAATCCCCGACTCAATTCGTGGGATGAATCAGAAAAAAAAAATTCTAAAATGCCTCAATGGCACAATCGACAACCTGCCCCATAATGCGATTGAACGCGCACATTGACTCTGCAAATACTCGCCAAACACATGCCGCCCCATTATAGTGAAATTTACTAGTTTCAAAATTAAGGATAAGATTCTTGCCGCCTGAGCACCATTGAAAGAAAAAAAAAAAACCATTGTAATCAGTGAGGATTACTCCGGCGGTACACGTAATCTCAGAAAAAACTTGGATTATGCAAAAGGCCTTCTCGATTCCCCCAAATATCAGGCTGTCATTCAGATAGCCCACCATAAAATTGTTTTAGGAGTGTGCTACCGTCCACCCAATTTTCCATCAGGCTTCACAGATCATCTACGTGATTTAATTAACCACGTGATATCCAGCTACTTGAATCTACCCTTAATACTACTCGACGATTTCAATCTTCCAAATATTAGGTGCAACTGTTGCAACTGGTTATGAGTTGCATTAACGCAACTCATAATCAAACCTACGAGAATCACGCAGTCGGTTTCTAATACTCTTGACCTGGTTCTAACATCTAGCCCCGATTTTGTTTCCAACGTAACATATATTCCAGGACTGAGCGATCATTTATTGGTTACATTTGACGTGAATCTGATACCTCCTAAAAAAGCACGTAACACTAAAATTATTCGAAATTACTACAAAGCCAACTTTCAAGCAATCAACGTCGAACTGAGTGATTTTCTAAACATATTCATCACCAGCTTTGATAGCCGTAGTGTGCAAACTAATTGGGACATGTTCTTATCAAAAGTCAATGATCTTACATCTAAGTACATACCCGTTCATACTATCACAGTTAACCCAGAAGCTCCGTGGTATAACATTCACTTGAAATGTTTGTCAAATAGAAAAAAGGCCTGTATCGGTCTGCTAAACGATCCACAAATCGCACCCGTTGGCAAGATTACAAGAGGGCCTCAGAAGATTATATAGGAGCACTAAAAAGTGCCAAAGATTATTTTTTCCGCAAGAACCTGCCAAACATACTCACAACTAATATCAAAAAGTTTTGGCACGTGATAAACGCCAACACTGATAATGTCATATCGCTTGTGCATAACGGTGATTCTATTCCTGATGAAAAATGTGCTTCCTTGCTTAATGGTGTTTTTTCACAAAACTTCACTTCCGTTGCACACTGCCCATCACCACAACTGGGATGCTTTGATTACACTACAATGTTGCCGCTAACAATTGATTAAGATGGTGTAAAAAATGCTTTAACATTGTTAAATGCATATTCAGCCCCAGGTTGTGGTTTAATTACTCCCAAGTTCTTGGTGGGCACACTTTGTTATTCTTGTCTTTCTATCCATGATTTTTCAGCAGTCCCTCACCGAAGGTTCTCTTCCATCACACTGGAAGGTTGGTAAGGTCGTTCCATTTCATAAATCTGGTAATAAGCATTCCCCACTTAACTATCATCCAATTTCGCTTACTAGTATTCCGTGTAAGATTCTTGAGCACATTTTGTATTCACATCTAGCCAACTTCCTCGAGACGAATTCTTTTTTTACACCATCCCAACATGGTTTTCGTAAATCATATTCTTGCGAAACACAACTGGCATTATTTAAGCACAAATTAAACGTTATTCTCGATCGTTCATCATAGGCAAATTGCATAATTTTATATGTCAGCAAAGCTTTGGATAAAGTATGTCACAAACTTCT